TTACCAAGGGAGTATGGGATTACCTGAACCAAGTGCCACGTGTCATTTCTGCAGTTTTATGTGATTTGGCCATTGAAATTCAATTTTGTAAAACTAATGACTTGTGTACAGATTCAGCATTTTTGAAGGTGCAAGCTGTAGCACCTGGTTTACCAGGTGGCTCTGGCAGTGAGTTAGTCAATTCACCAAGGGATCACGGCACATTTGGAAATTCACAGTCATGGTTTACATACGACGAATTAGAGGAGGCAACTAATGGTTTCGCAGCACAAAACCTTTTAGGGGAAGGTGGGTTTGGTGCAGTGTACAAAGGATGGCTAGCAGATGGTTCAGTGGTGGCAGTAAAACAGTTAAAAATTGGCGGAGGGCAGGGTGACCGTGAATTCAGAGCAGAAGTCGAAACCATAAGCCGTATTCATCATCGCCACTTGGTCACTCTCGTTGGTTATTGCATCTCTGAGAACAAAAGACTGCTTGTTTATGATTATGTCCCCAATGACACCCTTCATTTCCATCTTCATGGTAGATATTGTTTAGTTTTCAAATTTCAATAAGTGAATTGCATTTGCCTACTCGGTTACTAAAGCTATATATTGCTCTTTCTGACTTTCTATTCATAGGGAAAGATAGACCAGTTATGGACTGGCCAACACGTGTAAAGATTGCCATGGGTGCAGCTCGTGGAATAGCTTATCTCCACGAAGATTGTGAGTAATTTTTCCCTTCTCTTTATGTACTGTGATTCATCACATGTACTGTGGGTCTTATCAAGAAAATGAATGAGGAATAGGTGAAATAGCAGCTTTTCCCTTGAATATTTTCATTGTGAATATTATATTACCTGAAATAGATTAAAACTAACTCCTCATTTCATGTCTTGTTGACAAACATAAACATCTACTTAAGACTCTAAGTAAATTGTTTGGTTGGGGGATTTCGGAGGAGTTGATTGGTTTTTGTTTTAAAATGTATCTCCATTTCTTAGTCTTAGTTTTAAAATCTACGGAGTACTACATGGATGTTTATTTAAATCATGCATTTCATATAATTTTTCATTTTCTGTTTCTTTCTAATCATCTAGATTTAAGAATCATCATCATCATGATTACCCCAGTGCCACAAAGGCTCCCACCTACTGTGGGGTAAGGGGGGGGGGGGTCGGATGTACACAGCCTTACCTCTGTTTCCGGATGACCCAAAGTATCAATAAAATAAGTCAATTGTTTAAGAATAGGTCAAACAATAAATATCTAGATTTATCTAGATTTAAGAATAAGTCAATAAAATAAATATTAACTCTACCTTCCTCCTCTATGGAATCCTCCAACCAAACAAGGACTAAAGTAATATGAACTTAAATAAGTCACACACATTAATTGTTTTGTATAGGATGTAGATTGTTTCTTACTTTGTTGTCAATTGTTAATATTCATTGATTCAATGTTGTACGGATTGCAGGCCATCCACGGATTATCCATAGAGATATTAAGTCTTCAAACATTCTTTTGGACGAGAACTTTGACGCAAGGGTATGCCCTACCAGCCCACAAATTCTAGCTTTTCATGATTGCTTCATTCTGTCAACTTCTCATTGTTGGTTTGTAATAACAGGTTTCCGATTTTGGATTAGCTAAGTTAGCTCTTGATGCAAACACACATGTTACAACACGTGTGATGGGAACCTTCGGGTATAGTCATCTATTATTATTATTATCAATGAGTTGATGCGAGACGAATATAAAAAATGCAAATGGTAGGAATCAAAGTTTTATTAGTCATCGACATGGAGCTAGTTATCTCCATGTTAATATGTTACTACCTCTGTCCCAAAGAAAGTCATATTTCATCAAGGCACACTTTTTATTTTTAGCAAGGCATAACTATTGGAAATCATCATTCAAGCTATACTAATAAATTTATATGTTGATTTACTTAAACTTAATATCCTAAACTTGTTAAGGACATTTTTCATTTTCGAAAAATACATTAAATATTATGAGAATTAGCCTTTTTTGTATTCAAACAACTTTTTTGGGGGATACAAAAAGTTTTTTTGGGGATGTAGTGAGTTATCCATACTAATATAAAATGTAACTAATAATTCCTAATAAATTCTGCTGCCTCTCTTTCACACCTTACACATCAATTTATGGTAAAGTGGCACCTAAATTCACCACTAATTTTTGTGATTGTTTTGGTTCAGATACATGGCTCCTGAATATGCATCAAGCGGAAAGTTGACAGAAAAATCTGATGTTTATTCATTTGGAGTTGTGCTCTTGGAGCTAATAACTGGTCGCAAGCCTGTGGATGCATCTCAGCCTTTAGGGGATGAGAGCCTGGTTGAATGGGTATGCTCTTTAGCTTACTCTCTAGTCTCTACATTTGTTAGGTTATCAGTTTAACACATCTTCTATTCAATTATACATATGGCATATTACTTTGTATGATATACTGTCCATCCGAGAAAGTAAGAAAAAAGAAAGGGAAGCCCGGTGCACGAAGGAATCCCTGCAAGGTGAGGGTCCGGGGAAGGGTCCCATCACAAAGGTATATACGGGACAAGCCTTCCCCTATCAAAATTTGACAGGAGGCTGCTTCCGAGACTTGGACCCGTGACCTCTCGGTCACTCAGCAACACCTTTACCGGTGCACCAAGGCTCACCTTCGTCCATCCAAGAAAGTCATGATTTAAAAATAATCTTCCAGAAAAAGGAATCCCGTTTCAACATACAAAGCTAGTTTTCATGAAACTTCTCAAAAAAGAGTCCTGGAAAAAGCGTTGGTGACTTAAAGTTTATGTTACCAAAATCAAAAGGTTGTAATGTTTTATGCTTGTACAGTTGTACCTTGCTTAAACACGATTCTTTTATTGAGACGGAGGTAGTATTCTCATTAATAGAGGCCAAGGGTATTGTTTTGTTAGTGGATGGTGAAGGAAAAAGATTTAGTGAACTGAAATTTAGGTTTTTTCTCCGAGGAAAGATGATCACTCTTTCAAGTAACTACTACAATTTTCTTTCCACTAAAGCTTTACCCCAATCAAGAATTCAGTGAGTGCATTTCTGCATTGTTTGATTAAGGTTATAAAAACCTTTTGAAAGGCTACTTTTTACTACCTTAATATGTCCAAAGTCAAATTACTTTTTACTACCCTGAGATGTCAACACCCTCTAAGTGATCTCTTAACTTTCCAGGCTCGTCCTTTGTTGAGTCATGCTCTTGAAAATAAGGAGTTTCAGCAGCTAACAGATCCTGGGCTAGAGAAAAATTATGTAGATAGTGAAATGTTCAGAATGGTTGAGGCAGCAGCAGCATGTATTCGCCATTCTTCTGCGAAAAGACCACGCATGGGACAGGTAACTATTATCCATATTGCCTTGCGAGATGTGAGATGTGAGATGTGAGATGTCTCTAGTCTCCATCATGGGGAGGCTGTTTTTTTTCACTTTTGGGTGACATCCTACTCACCCACATCTTGGCATTTGATATTTGATATGCAACGATATTTTATATGCAAAATCCATTTTATATATTCTCTTAAAACTATCAATGATACCAAATAGCTCTTACCTGTCTGGTGAACTAACAGAATCTGTTCTTTGTAACCACAAATTTTCATGAAACACCACTACCCATTAGAATAGCTAACACATTCCACTCTTTGCTACACATGTGTTTTTACGGTTCGTAGATAGTGGTTTGTGTGTGGTAGGTGTTTTTGAGAGTTTGGGGCGGTGGCTCCATGTGTTTGTCAGGAGAGAATAAGAAAGCCCCACATGGGCAGGAAAGCTATTTTCTTGCTTTTTTGAACTATCTTCTTCTTTGCGGTCCCTTTTTACTGTGCATGTTAGAAGTTTTATATTCAAGAGTGGTTGCATTTTTTTACAGGTTGTGAGAGCTTTTGAAAATATGGCCATGTCTGACCTCACAAATGGGATGAGAGTTGGTGAAAGTGAAATATTCAACTCTGCAGAACAATCAGCAGAGATAAGGCTGTTTCGCAGGATGGCGTTTGGGAGTGGGAACTTTAGTATAGATTTTTTTCAGTCACAGTAGCTGATTCATCATGGGGTAAATAATTACAGTTTAATCTGTCATGACAGTCGAATGAAACTCGGCTAAAAGGTACATATTTTTGTCTGAGATCTCCTCCGTGGCTGAAGCAGAAAGGCTCTTGCGCTTAGATCCATGATGAATAGATCTTGAAAGTAGGATCTTATTTTTGTATGTAGTTTTGTTTTTTGACATCTTTTGATGTATTCAGGTTATTATTCTTTTCAGAGACTTTACATGTAACTAGGTCAAGGCACTGTTATCCATACACAAATTGTTTTAGTTTTAAAAGATGCTCCCTCCGTCCTGTCTTATTATCTGTTTAGTTTTCGAATTTTATTTTACGCTCCTTTGTATCAGTCTACCTGCTAAACTTTGCTCCATGGTTTGTTTCAGTTTTACCCTTCTGAAAGTTAAATAAGATAAATCGAAAAATATTAAAAGAGAATTAAGAAATTGTATTAAATGTGCATAAATAAATTCTTATAGCTATATCTTTGTGGCAAACATTGACTATTTTTTGGCTTGGGAATATTATAGAATAAAGCAAAATGACTTTCTAAACTGTCTACGTTTCTTTGTTTGTTTGTTGTGTATCTCTTAAAAAATTTGTTCATAAATAAGGACAACTTTGGTGAGATTAGATATGAAATTGTTGATTTTACAAAATTATATAAATTTATTTGTATACAATATTACACGTGATAAGAGATTTAGAGTGTCTGCCTTGTTTTGGGGACTTGTATCCTGCTTTGTTTGCGTGCACTCTTATAGTCTTATATGCAAATTAAGAACAAAAAATGCACAAGAGGTATCCTTGCTTGGAAGACAAGTTATTCCAGAGGAATTCACACGTTTCCTTAGAACCAATTTCTCTCGGATCTCAAAAGGCCCTCTGGGTCTGTGTCCTATTTGGCTTATTGCTTCACACTTCATAAAGCATCAAAAGGAGTAGAAGGAACATATTCTGTGGGAGAAGAAACATGTCTTCCCTAATAAACACTTCTCTCCTCTACATCACCTCTTTTTCTCCCTCTCTGTCTTGGAAGAATGCACGACAGGAACGCCCTTGTTGCAGATTGCATTGTCATATCATGCTGCTGCCAATGTTTGATTCTCCAGGTCATCATCTTAATCTTGCTCAAACTCCCTTATAGGATGATTAGGAGGACAAAACGCTACGTGAAAAATCTGAGATCCCGAATGAGCAAGGGGAAGAAGAGTTTGCAGGTAAAAACGCTTCGTGGTAAACTCAGCATCAGGCATTACAGCTCCGGAAGGTGGCGTGACGAGGGAGGAGGCTCGCACAGGGTTCATCAGGTTGACGGATTGATCCCGCTTAGTGGGTGTTGCATGGATGAAGTTGAGAGGGTATTGGAGGAATTTTCATTGAAAGGGGAATTTGCTTTTGGAAGCTTTTGGGGTGGTGAGTCAGTCATATTTACTTGCCATGCGAAACAAGAAGTTTACTGATATTGTCATGACCATCTAGAGTCTAGACACATTTGACTTTTTCCACTTCCAATTATAGTTCTGAAAAACTTCAAGCTGGTGGAATAGTTCATCTAGACCGGATTCAGAATTTCAGATAATAAAAATTTAGAAGTCAAAGATGACCTGGCGCTTAGGTGGGGCCTTGGATCCATTGAACTATGCTTCCATGAATGTGCAATAATTGATTGTGTAAGGACCAGTTTGGTCAATACTAGTTGGTTGATACTTGATATGGTTGAGTTTGTTGAAGATGGTTTGATAACATAGCTTTCACCAAACATGTCTTATACTTGTAAAAGATTACGGAGTATTAAATTTGTCAGAATGTAGAATTTTAAGATATAAACTTTTAAGAATTTTATTAATATATATTAAACTAATTAATTGCCAAAATTTTGTATAAAAAAAACTTAAAAATTCAATTGTTGTAACTAAAGAAACGAAGGTCAATATATACTTATAAGCAGATAAATAAAGCCATCATACTAACAATAGATAGCAAACAGAGCCTTGGAATGGAAGATTATGACAGATGCTAAACGTACAAAAATGTCAAATTACTGTTTGAACAGAAGTGCAAAATTACTCAATTAAAGAAAAGAATGCGTGGTTTTTTGTTACAAAATGTTTACACCAGTATAGAGAATATCTTCAAACAAAAATTAACCCTCTATCACTAAACCGACAAGGTCTTCCTCTCAACAATGTTAGTGTACAATGAAAGAATACATAAACCTATTAATTGCAAAATTTACAGAGGTTTGGGGGGGGGGGGGGGGGGGGGGGGGGGGAATCTCCAACATCAATTGATATTGTGCAATCTGTACCCAAACATCTACATATGTACAACGTGCCCCCTCACAGTTCTATATTTTTACGCTGTTTGTCACCTGGTCTCGTAATTCCCATCTTCCAATGGATTAGTTCTTGCCAGAGAACGGGCTGTGAAGCCCACAGTGATCGGCCTAATGGACCTCTGCCGGACCATATTACAGTACTCGGGGTCCTCCACCCTTCCCTCATACCTCAACCACTGTATCATCCCGTGATACATCGGGAAAAACCGCATCTGTATGGCATTATATGAAAAGTAAGGGACCAAAGCCGCAATAACCACAAACGGAGTGACCACCCAGTAAATAGGGGCCGGTGCAAGGGCTTCTAGGAAGATTTTGTATGCCGTGGTGGAAATCGTCACGGGAAGCTCTCCATATACGATGAGGAAAATGTACCACAGAGCTATCCCGCCCCAGATGAAGATGTGTTGGATTAAGGTGAAGTAGCTGACCGCAAGCGCCATCTGGCAGTTCACTACCCAAACGACACACGTGTACATTGCGGTTCCCACCTCCGCAAACCCTGCTGTTTTCCCGTCCTTTTTGTAGGCTTGAGGGTCAAGTGCGTTTGTGCAGAGGAAGAATATTATGATGGCTGAGCAGAGACCATTGACCATCCATCCAATTATACGCTTCCAGCTGAAGAGGACGTTTTGAACCCCTTCTTGATAAAGTAAAGGAAACTGCATGAGAAAAGAGGTATATGAGAGTGACCAAAATGGAGAGAACGGAGTTAAAACACTACCCAGAGGGCCCCACTGCCCCTTTCACTTGGGGTGTGCTGCAACTGGCCCAGCAAGACTAAACGTCAATTATATTTCCAACAAACACTTATTTCATTGCACTAGTTGATATTGAAAAGATTGCTTTTTGGGTTAATGAAAATGACATTGCAGCCTTCGTTCTTTCTATTATTTTCTTCAGCTAATATTAAAATAGTATTTAAAAAATCATATGGAAAACTAAGCAGATTTAGATTTAGCCCCTTCAATTAATTTAGGCATTGCGAAATGGGTAGCCTTATCTAGCTTATTCTGCTTATTATGATTGTCAGCATCTCAGCACAAGTAAGTTTTGATTTATTTGGTTGAAACAGATGTTAAACACACTGCTTTCAAATTCACACCAAAGGTTATATTTTTGTAAATCAACTTTAGACGTGTTCAAGGTGTACATTCACATGAGACCTCCTGGCTTTTTTAGTACGCATCGCCAAAATGAAAATCTCTAGAATAAGCTATTGACTAGAATGGCACTATAAATGTAAGCAAAATGTCTAAACCTTAATCTAACCATAGACATCTTTCAACAAAATAACTCTTAGCAAACGGGCCCTTAACTCGGATCACTAGGACCACATGAGTTGTGCCCGGGGTGAAAAACAGAGACTCATGAAACATACACCCAATAGTCTATTGGCTGCATTGACATACCTTAGTACAATACCGGGAGGACACATCTTGATCAAAGACCCCCAAGGCAATCACAGGGAGTGATGTGAAGAAGACATTGTAAAGCGCAAGGAACCAATCATTGTATGCGGGTTGTGCAGAAAATGACGCATACGCTTCGTACAGGAACACGGTCACGCCAAAGGTTATATTTTTGTAGAAGAAATAGCATATCTGCAAGAGGGAATAAGAAATATCATATATATAAATGAGCTACGTGATATTTTTTACTATTTATATGGAAGAAATTAATAATAAAATGAACTACCATTGAAGAGATCCTTCTGTAACACCAATGTCCATGCACTAAAAGCAAGCGCTCCAAGAAACGGAACTGTGCGATGGCCACATCACTAGACATGACAGCCTGTCATTGCACCGCCATAGAAAAGGAAAAACACATTAAAAGGGTAGGAAATCACTGAATCTCCTAATATTTCTAGAAGGAAAGGCTTGCATGATATGCATTTTAGGTAGAGCTGAACCCAAAAAATCAACATGCCAAAAATGACAGAAACTGGATGAACCAAACAATAGCTGGTCCAGTTTACGGTTTAAGATATGTGCTTTTAAAATCGACGAAACCAACCAAGACTGACTAAAATCGACCGAAACATGGCATAAGCAACCAAACCAGACACAAGCTGACAAAACATAACCGAATCAAAACAGTCTGAAATCGATTTAGTTACTCCATTCGGTTATCAGTTTTGCATATCTCAAAACCACACCGACCATACCGAAAACCAACAAATACACACTGACAAACACCCACAATTTCAGCCAAATAAGTAAAAAACTACTTAATCCGAAAGATCATAGATTAGTACCTGCATTCCTTCAACACCACTTATTCCAATTCCGATATCTGCTTCTTGGAGCATTCCTACATCATTAGCTCCATCCCCGACTGCCAAAGTTGTTTTCCCAGTTCCCTCTTTTACAAGCCTTGTTACCTGAAGGTTCCAGAACATTTAATTTCAAGATAAGAAAAATGAAGATTATAAAAATAAGGAATATGGTGTGCATCGCGGATTACCAATGCCTTCTGCTTTGGTGATGAACGGCAACATATAACAGAAGCACACCCGACAGCAAGTTCTAAAAAGGAGTTTTTTATGTCATCTTCCAATGCATATGTAAGGGATTTGCCATCAACAATAAGAGCAAATGCCTCCTTGTTTGATGAGGTGACCAGTTCTTTCCCGTTGGTAATTTGCTTGGCAACACTTTTCTTCGAGGCCTGTAAAATTATATCATTTTCATTTTTTTCATTTTCATTTACCCCAGTGCCGCAAAGGCTCCCACCTACGGTGGGGTAAGGGGGGGTCGGATGTACGCAGTCTTACCCCTGTACTAAAAGCACAGAGAGACTGTTTCCGGATGACCCATAGTGAAAATCCCGTCCAAAATTGCATGGACTGACTGCTGCTTCATAACAAAGAAGCGCAGACAGTTTAGTGAGCCATTTTGCTTTATTCCATCATAATCTCAAGCCAAAAAATAATGAATCTTTGGCTCCATTGCAAATGATGGAAAAGAAAACATTGTTAAGAGGCCCCACATAAAATACTAAAGAGATAAGTTTCAAAAACCTTGTGTCAGATTAGCTAATGATGGAATCTAATCTTTTAGTGGATTACACAGTTGAGTGACCCTGATCCTAACCTCCCATGGATTCTAACATGCATACAAAAGCATATAATTCTCTCAAAATGTAAACGACTCGTTTGGATAGGCATTTACTTACCTTGGCTGCTCCTTTCTTGTCTCCAGCTCTCTCTAGTGCCACAATTTCAGGTGTATCCAAGCTTATAACTATCTGTTTCATTCCTTGTCTAAGCAAACTACAAGCATAACTGCAAACACGATTTTGACTCGATTACATTTTGTAATTAATAGCCTAAAAAAGTAAATCATAAGAACTTCTAGAAAATAATTATTATACCCAATATTAATGGCAGTTTCCATCTTGTCTCCTGTCAGAACCCATATCTTTATGCCTGCTTGTGCAAGCTTGTCGATGCATTCAGGAACCTACCAAAAGTAGCACAACACAATTACAATACTGTTAAGAATAGTTCATTAAAATGCGAGGAGTGTTTGCCATTGCTTACAAAAAGTACTTTTGTTCTTTCCACTTAGAAAAACTTGGTGTTGTGAAATACGTGCTTCTGTTGAACTTTAAGCACTTTAAAGCTGCTTATAAAAAACTGTTTTAAGCATGTGGGAATGATGTTTTAACAGCTTTTTGCTTTTCTATAATATTTGACGTAAATAATGCACAAATAATTAGTATTTTACGAAACACTCCAACTTCTACTTTTTTAAAGCACTTGTATTTCCAAACACTACAAACTTTTACAATTAAGCATTTTATCTATAATCTCTAAAATAAGTCACTTCTCAAAATACTACCTTAAGAGATAGATGAATTCATAGAGCAATAATATATGGACATTTTCAGGAGGCATTGCTATGTACACACATTCATTGGGCGTTAAAAAGTTGAACATGAAATCATCACCCAATAAATGTAACCTACCCAGGAATGCCCACTTGAATGTCGATATTTTATGTCTCCTTCTGAAGTATAAGGTCTACTTAATCGATTGTATTCAATCTTTTAGTATTGTTTGACCAGTGTGCATTATGACTCACGTGAGTAATCCCAACCTAAAAAAAGAATTCTATACAAACAACAATGTGATGTCTCAAAACTCACCCCTTCTTGGAGTTTGTCTTCAACAGCTGTGGCACCAAGAAGAATCAAGTCTTTTTCAACCCTTTCGGTCACTTCATCAATCATTGCATCGCGATCTGCACTAATTGAGTTCTTGGCCTCAGAAAATTGTTCATTAAATGCTTTATATTCTTCCTCAGTTAGTTCACGATAACCAAGTATCAAAGTCCTCAGGCCTGCATCAGCATACTCATTTACATGCTGTTTTGTTGCTTCTTCAAACTCCCTTCCGTTTATGGCGAGCCTTTCAAACATGACACTGTTCCAAAAAAAAAGTATAAGAAACAGATCATTTAGGGT